ATCGATCGGAGCAAAATGCAAGTGAGCTCATTCTTCAATTTCCGACGTCCTGATCCAGCGTCTGTGGGCCAACACGCTTCCAATCAAGCAATTCCAAGTCGAGCAAGATGATGTTCAGCAAGACAATCTGTGCGCTGTGTGCGGCGGCTGTGGCGCTCTCGGCTAGTGCAGTAGACGCGTCTACCGAGGTGGCGCAGACGTACGGGCGTCTGCACCAGAACCACGACGGTTATGGCAAGAACGACGGCTACGACAAGTGTTGCGACGCAATACCTTTGAGTTTGTATACTCGGTTTGTGCAATATGATAGGTTAAAAGGCAATCAAATCGTCTATTTGATTGGATAAATGTCAATAAGGGCAATGGCTGAAGGAAAGAGGCCAGCGTCCACCCAACTTAAGATAAGCCGAGGGATGTGGTGGAGAGGTGGCCATGTGATGCCACCTCATATCCAAAACTGACGGCAACTACCAACTACGTGTGTAAGCAACATTTCAAGTACTTCTCAATGGCTGCTATTGCTAAGACTGGTGGTGGCCTCGAGAAATTTAATGGTAAGTCCTACACTATGTGGAAAGGACAAGCTGTTGACTTACGTCAATCAGTTGGACCATCAGTACCAAACGAAGCTGTTAGAGAAGAAACAGCCTGAAGCGAAGGTGCTCATGGCCGACTTCTGCGGGACATCCTAAGAAGCCAGCACCACGACCACAAAATGGACGAGCAAGAGTGCTCTCGTGGCGTGGGGGCGTGATGGCACTGGATGAGAGAAGGGGCGACTTACAAAACCTGCTCAATCAGTCCTCCAAACTTCTTTCTCTCTCACCCTCCCGATGTGGTGTCCTCCATGGACTCCATGTGAAGTCATTCGACTTCTCGAGAAGGACTTCGGCCAAGGTGACGCTGCGGGCCTGATTGAGCTGACCCGGGCCTGGTCGAAGGTGTTGCGTAGCCCTTGGCGTGACTTCAGGACACTTTTCGCGCAACTTAAGAAGGCAAAGAACGAGATTAACAGAAAGTCTCGGAAGCTGCTCGGCCAGGACATGGTGACCGAGTCTTGGCTGTGCATCGAAGTCCTGTCACAACTCCCAAGTGAATTTTGGGCTTCAGCGATCTCCATGAAGAAAGAGGACTTCACGGTGGATAGGGTCGAAGTGGACTTACGCAAGACCTTTGGTGACCGATCCAAGAAAGAAGTGGGTTTAATGGATAAAACCCAAGCGATTCCTGTCAACAATGTCGGGGTCAAGAGAAAAAGCGGTGCAGGTGAGGGTGGAAAAAGGTGTTTTTACTGCCTCAAGAGTGGACGCTTTAAATCGGACTGTTCGGGGATGATCGCTGATAGGGATCCTAACCGCGAAGGTGGACCCCTTATTAGGACCGATATCAACACTGCACCGGGTGCTAAGAAGGCCAAGAAGGCGAAGACAACCCCGATTAATACCCTCAAATCGGTGGTGCTAGAAGGGGAAAAACGCCTAAATGAGTGTGGGAAGACTCTTCTGGAAGAGTGCATTGAGGACGAGGAGATGGACGACATTGAGGATCTGGACTCCGCCTACCATAAAGGTTTTGAGGATGGTGGCAACGTGCCGAATACCCCTGTCAGGTCCCCACTACAAATGGACGACATCGAAGAGGAGGTACGTAAGCAGCATCACTCCTATTTGAGAGCCTTGAAGAAGTTAAAACTGACCGATGATATGTGGGTGGTTGATACTGGTGCAGGCCGAGCTATAACATCAGATCGAAGCTGGTTTAGTGGGAGCCTAAAACCGAGTCAGGGCCACAATTTTACCTACGGAAACGGGAGCTTTTCTCATAGCTCACTAAAGGGATCAATAAAGCTTACCGTTTTAAACCCTAAAAAGAGGTTGAGTGTATTAACATTAAGTGATGTCTCATTTGACCGTAAGTGTGATAGTAACTTGATTGAGTGCCTACTATTTAGCTCGACAGGGATTTAGGCACT